AACTTAAAAAAATATTTGTAGAATTCTCCATTTAAACCATCTGGGCCTGGAGATATCTTTTTTTCAGGAAATCTTACATTATAAATTCAACTTTATATAGTTACAGGATTATTCAGATTGTCCATTCCATCTTGGTTGAGTTTAATAGTTCGTGGTTGTCCAGGAACTGGTCCAGTTCTTCCTGGTGGTCAGACAAGTCAGTCTATGGTTGTCTGTGGCCACCCTTGAGCATTTCATTGACTGCAGCATCTATAGTGGTACCTGTTTAATCCCTGATATGCCGACCTGGGTCTTTCTCTTTTTATTTCTATTAGTCTTCTTAGAGGTTTCTTAATTTTATTGATTTTTCCCCCCAAAGAATCAGTTTTTTGTTTAACTTTTCTATTGTTTTTGTTTTTAATTTTATTGAATTCTTCTCTTCATTATTTCCTTCCTTTGCTTTATTTAGGTGGGGTTTTTTTCCTCCTTTTTTTCGAATTTCTTGGAAGAAACATAGATTAAGATTTTTCCTCTTGGGGCCAGCAGGTAACATCATGGCTCAGGCATTGGACTCTCACATGCTTGAACACAGTTCAAGTCTTAGACCTGGCACCTTGAAAATCACACTGGGCACATGTGCATTCATGCCCCAAATCTCAAGAGGACAATGAAAAAGAAAGGATTGTAGGGAACCAGCAGTTAGCATAATGGCTATGTTGCTGGACTCCCACGTAGTCAACTGCAGTTCGCGTCCCTGACCCGGTGGCTTAAAACTCACGTCGGGCGCGTGTGCGTGCGTGCCCAAGATCCCGAGAGGAGAATGGAGGAGAAGGGATTGTGGCATGGCCATCCCCCCTGGGGGGTGATTTCTCGCTTTCTGTCTCTCTGTCTCTCTCTGTCTGTCTGGAGAGCGCATGCGCTCTATAGCGAAAACCTCTCAAAAAATAAAAAATAAAAAATAAAAAAGAAGGGATTGTGGCGTGGCTACTATCTCTGGGGGCGGGGGGGACTGATTTCTCCCTTTCTCTCTTTCTATCTCTCTGTCTCTCTCCAAAAAGCACCTTATAGCAAAAATCTCTTTAAAAAACCAAGATCTTTCCTTTTTTCTGAGATAGCATTTAGTGCTATGAAATTCTTTCTTAGCACTGCTTTAGCCGCAACCACAAATTCTGATATGTTATCAAATTAATACATCATATTCATAATTATACTAAACATGTGTTTCTTTTGCTCCCTCTGCTTCTTGCTTCACTTTTCTTGCCTTCTTGTGGGTTACCTGAACAATTTCTGGAATTATATTTTGGCTAATTAATTTGTTTTTTGGTCGATCACTTCGTATGACTTCCTTAGCGGTTACATAAAAATGCATAGTAATTTATCATGATCTATGAGTACAGCTGACTTACCACGTCAAATAACATGCAGAAAACTTACTTCCATGTTGGTCTTTATTTTTTTCCTTTTTTGAAGAGGTTTTTGCTATAGGGCGCGTGCACTCGCCAGACAGACAGAGAGAGACAGAGAGACAGAAAGCGAGAAATCCCCCCCCGGGGGGATGGCCATGCCGCAATCCCCTCTCCTCCATTCTCCTCTCAGGATCTTGGGCACGCATGCACACGTGCCCGGTGTGAGTTCTAAGCCACTGGGTCTGGGCCGCGAATCGCAGTCAACTACATGGGAGTCCAGCAACTTAGCCATTATGCTAACTGCTGGTCCCTCCATATTGGTCTTTTTATCCTCTTTACTTTTAAGATATAATTCTCTTAGTATTTCCTCTAAGTATATTGAGCAGTGCATCATGTTATAATTTTTACTTCAACTGTTCAAGTATGAAACTTATAGAGAAAAATCACAGTCTATTATTTTACTAATTCCATTGTCCTTGTTACCTTTCAGAAGTGCCAAACTTTCTTGTTATCATATCCCTTCTGTTTGGAGAATTGCTTTGCCATTATTTTAAAGAATAGATCTGATAGTGACAAATTCTCTTACTTTTCCTTTATCTAAAAATGCAGTTATTTTCACTTCTTTCCTGAAGGATACTTTCACCAACTAGACAACTTGCAATTGATGGTTCTTTTTTTTCAATATTTGAACAATGTGCCACTTCCTCCTGGCTTCCATGGTTTCCAATGATAAATCTGCTGTCCTTTCGATGGGTGTTCTCTATAGGTAATGCATCATTCTTTGACTGCTGTCGAGATTTCTTTCTTCCTCTATTGGGTTTCAAAGCTCAATCAGGGCCAGTCAGGTGGTGGTGTGGTCAAGGCAGCTGGATTCCACATGGCCAACTATGTGGCTCAAATCCTGGACCTGGCAGCTTGGAAAACATGCTGGATGTGTGTGTGTACATGCCCAAAATCCTGAGATGAGACTAGATGAGAAGGGATTGTGGTGTGGTCATCCCCCTAGGGGATTATTTCTTTCTCTTTCTCTCCTCTCTCTACTAAAAGGTGTACATACCCTATACTAAATTAATTTTTTTAAAAAACAGAAGTATAATCATGTGTTTTGGCATGCTTTTCTTTGGGTTTATTGTATTTTAAATTCACTTGACTCTTGAATCCGTTAAGTTTACGACTTTTGTAAAATCAGGAAAATTCTTAACTGTTTTTTAAACTAGGGTTTGATGTAGGTGGGTTTTAAGGGCAATTCAAGTTTGCAAACACATTTGAAGTTTGCTCTGGAGTAGAAGTCAGGGTCTAAGAATCCCTCAAGTTCTATACACAACACTATGAGAGCTTATTTTTCTTATGAGAATGTCTTATAGATTTCACTAGAGTCCAGAAAGATTCCATGACACTTACTATACATCTTATGAAAGTACTGACTTATGGTCTCATTGTATGTTTTGGTCTTCTTGGTTAAAACAAGTAAAAAACTACTTGGTTTCATTTCTTTCTTTGTATCACACCTGTTGAATTCCTGTGTTCCAAACATTACCCCAACCGTTTTGAAAAATACATCATTCTGGTGAATATTACTATGTTCTGAGGTCTAATGTATACTAGGCAATTTTTTTTTTTTCATTTTCTCTCCTAGTCAGTGAGAAGGAGAAGAGTTAAAACATTAATATCATTTTTGGCTCATGAAAAGCTCCGAGTTACTAAGACTGCTAGAGCAAACTTGGCTGTGTTTATGTGTGACTCTCTCCTTAAAATCTGTTCCTTACTGCTCTGAGCTGGATACACCAGTGACCAAATTGCATCCCTGAAAGGATCATTTCAGACACTAGAAACATGGCGTTCTGCAGTGGGCCTCCTTGTCACCACTCTAGCTTGCTTTGTACCACTGGCAGTCAGCACTGATCGCTTTCCGAGCAGACTTGTTCCTGGACAGTTGCTCAAGCTGCATCCTCTGCTCAGCACACCCTCACCTCCTTTGCCACCCTCTTTCCTGGACTAACTCCTGCTCATCTGCCAGAACTCAGTCTGGGCAGCACCAGCTCAGGAAATCACTCTTTCATCTCCAAGAGCAGAAGGGTGACATGGGGTGATACCCCATGCCACCGACACCTGCCAGAATCACACTGTGTACTGATTGCGTGATTGTCTTGTCCAACAGAGAGTGAGAACCTTGTAGGCCCCAGCCCGAGTTCACTACCACCCGCTGACTGCCTAAGCCTTTCCTCCATTTCTTCCTTAACGTCATAAATATCTGTTGAGCTCCTTCACATGGAGATGTGACAACCAGATGTTCAGCCCTTCTCCAGCAGGTTCAGTCTTTCCCAAGTTCTCACAGCATCTGTTTATTTATTTACTTTAGTCTTTTATTTTTGAGAACTAATGGAGCTTCTGACTCCCCTCTTACCATGATGCCTATTTCCCTGTTTTGGGAAGATATGGACACTGTCCTCTGCCATGCTTCTTGGGCAGGAACTGTGTCTTATTCAACCCACAGTGTCCAGGGATTTGTATAATGTTGCATTTTGTTGTTGTCGTTGTTATGAAAGATCTCCATTTATTTCTATCTTGTCTTGAAGTTCACTTTGTCCCGGATTAACATGTAGAGATCTGTCTTTCCTGTCGGGCTGTCAGCTCCTTGGGCAGGAACTGTGTCTTATTCAACCCACAGTGTCCAGGGATTTGTATAATGTTGCATTTTGTTGTTGTTGTTATGAAAGATCCCCATTTATTTCTATCTTGTCTTGAAGTACACTTTGTCTGATACCTATATGGCCACTCCACAATTTCTGTTTCTTTTTTTTTAATGTGGCCATCCCCCTGGGGAGAGGGTGATTTTTTTTTTTTTAAACTTATTTTAAGGTAGCATTGGTTTTTTTTTTTTTAATTTTTTTTTAGGGAGGATTTTTTTTTTTTTAATTTTTTTTTAGGGAGGATTTTTTTTTTTTTAATTTTTTTTTAGGGAGGATTTTTTTTTTTTTAATTTTTTTTTAGGGAGGATTTTTTTTTTTTTAATTTTTTTTTAGGGAGGATTTTTTTTTTTTTAATTTTTTTTTAGGGAGGATTTTTTTTTTTTTAATTTTTTTTTAGGGAGGATTTTTTTTTTTTTAAACTTTTTTTTAGGGTAAATTGCTTTTTTTTTTTTTTTGAGAGGTTTTTGCTATAGGGCGCATGCGCTCGCCAGACAGACAGAGAGAGAGACAGAGAGATAGAAAGCAGGAAATCACCCCCCAGGCGGGATGGCCACGCCGCAATCCCTTCTCCTCCATTCTCCTCTTGGGATTTTGGGCATGCATGCACAGGAACCTGGCATGAATCTCAAGCTGCCAGGTATGAGGCTTGAACCACAGTTGACCATGTGGAAGTCCAGTGCCTTAACCACTACGCCATCTGCTGGCCCCAAGGTAGCGTTTCAGAGATTTTGGTGGAAAGACTTTGCTGCTGGATTGTCACAGCTGTCCTGCTGTTTAGGATGGAGCGTGCAGTGCCTCTTCTCCACATCTTCACTTCCTGCTTACTTTTATCCTTCAGGCTAAGCCACTGTGAGTTATTTCTGGAAAGCAGAAATGAGTAAAATTTTAAAATGACATTTTAAAGTAATTTTTAAATTCCTCCTAGGTACTATCTTGGTCGTCGGATGTTTATTGTTATCTCTCAGCCAGACATGATCCAGCAGGTGTTGGTTGAGAACTTCGGTAACTTCACCAACAGAATGGTATGTAGTGTCCTTGTGCACATGCATGGGGGGAGATCATTTTAAGGTGGAAGGACGGCGTGACAGCTCTAACAGGGATTACATCTGGCCTTTGCTAAGGTTTAGATCTCTTCTACTGGAAACTGAGTACCCTGGTGGCCTCAGGTATTCAAAAGAGTTGTAAGGACGGGGACAAACTCGTGACATTTACATTGAAGAAAGTCTCAGAAAAGCTAAAGTTCAAGAGAAGTTGATGCTAATAAAAATGCTAAAACCAGGACGGTTTTCTAAAGCCATATTCAAAGCTAGAGGGATCCAGAGGGCACAGGCCAAGTGACTGAGAAAGATCGAGCAAAGTTAATAAGAAAACAGTGGGAAGGCAGAATTTCAAGGCCCTTGTGCCCGTGTCTTTCCCGGAGAGTGTAAAACTATTAGGCTGGAAAGGGAAGGCAAGCAGCTTCTGGGGGGAGCTTAGTCCCCACGTGGGAGGAGGAGCCTGTAAGAGGGCCCCTTCGCATGAGTTCAGTCTCCGCCTACTGGTGGGTGCACCTCTGCAGCACTTACGGAGAAATTTTCCTTGGATGAGAAATTGCAAAGACTAGGAGAGGTAGCGGAGGATGGCCACAGGCTAGGGGAGCCAACGGCGTAGTGGCAACACTCTGTGAGTCTGACCCACGAGGGGAGGTCCTGGGTTTGAATCAGAGACCCCTCGGCATACGCCGGGCATGTGCACCATAATCCAGGGCTGGCTAAAGCTGGGGGTGGACTGTGGCATCCAGACCTGCTGGAGGTGCTGGCATTCTCTCTCTTTCTCTCACCGTAAGGCATAAATAAATCAACATTTTTAAAAAGAACGAAATGAAAAGGAATCCTTGAGTTTCGTACTAGTTTAGCCACTGTTTCTAGACTCTCTTCCCCAAACACTGTGCTGTTCTCCCTCTGTTCAAATACCCTGGAAGGCCGCCTGTGCAGCCGGGGTCTTCAGACTGAGTTCAGCTCTCAAATATAGCTGTCCTCACAGACGGTTTCCCTGTCAGCCTTGGGAAAGTGCTGATTAGGAAGCTGGCAGATGTGGCCCAGTAGTAAAACACAGTGTTCTGCAAGACAGCTGCACATAGGAGGGTTCCTGGTTCAAGTCCAGAGACCTTACTGAGAGCACTGGGTACATCCTTGCCCGGGATCTGGGGCTGGCTGTTGTTCAGGAGTGGATCATGGTGGCAGGACCCTGTTTGGGGGGATCTCTGTCTCTCTGATTCTGTCTCTGTCTCTATGTGTCTCTTGAACTCATAGAAGAAAGAAAGAAATACACATTTAAAAGAAGGAAGAGGGGCCAGCAGGTGGCATGGTAGTTAAGACACTGGACTCTCACATGGCTGACTGGTTTTGGTGCTAGACTTGTTAGGTTGAAAATCATACCAGGTACATGTGTCTGCATGCCCAAAATCCCAGGAGGAGAAGGGATCGTGGTGTGACTATCTCTCTGAGGGAAAGGGTGATTTCTCACTTTCTCTCTCACTGTCTCTGTCTCTGGAAAAATGCAAAAAAACAAAACAAAACAAAATGAAAAACAGAAGCAGCAGCAGCAGCAGCTGGGGAAGTCACAGAGTCGGAGCTCATCATCCCAGCTGCACTGAGCAGGGGTGAAGGCGCTTCTGAGAGCCTGCCTCCGTCCTTGAGCCTGCCTAAGCTCCTGAGCAGTGAGTTGAGACATGACAGCCAGGTGTCCCCATATGGCTTCAAGGACCCCCAGATGTCACCAGGGCAGGAGATCCTGAGAGCTGACCTGTGAGAGAGGGTGTGAGGGACAGACATACTCAGCCCACATGTTCCTATGGAGGAGACCGCATGAAGTTGCCCCCGGCTTCTGTCTGTTTCTCCTCCAAACCATTTGTCTGTCATCCCTAATTTCTTCTACCCTCCTCCCATCCCCCTGACTACGGTCTCTAGGTCCCAGCCTCCAAACTCAAGAGTACAGTCCCAATTTCCTTCCTCTCTCATTCAACACAGGATTAAGTCTTCAGAATTAAGTTCAAATTCCCCAGACAAGATTTAAGGGCCCCTGTAATTTCTATCCATTGCCTATGCTCTGCCTGATCTCTCCCAGCTCCCCAGTAGAGTAGCCACTCCCACTGTCCCCCCCATTCTCTCCCTGCCCTCTTACCTTTGCACACGCTGACGCTTCCCCTGGGATTGGAGGTGGCCTGGCAATAGGTTACACAGTACACTTTTATTAGCAACGTGAGACTGGGCACATTTCTCAACTTCTTTAAGCCTCTGTCCCTCCTTTGGGAGACAGGGGTATGACCTATCAGGCTAAATGGGAGCCTGTGTATAAGCCCTCCCTCCCTCACATAGACACTCAACCTGTGGGAGCCTTTTAAAAAATTTCCAGAAAGTGCATGCACTCATGCACAGGAGAGAGAGAGAGACAAAGAGGGAGCCCCTCATGGGGAATGATCACGTCACAATCCCTCCTCCTCCATTTCTCCCTCCTTTTGGGATTCTGGGCATGCACACTTGTTTCTCAAGTTGCAGGATCTGGGACTTGAACAGTGAGGTCAGCCTCGCAGGATCCAGCCACCTTAACCATCAGGCCACAAGTCCACTGCTTTTAACAAGAAAACCTTCCACCTCTTCTATATGTCTCCAAACCCCGGCTATTCATTCCTCAAGGCTCTCCTCCAACTCTACCTCCTCCATGAAGCCTTCTCTTCCTCCATCCATAGTCACTTCCCCCTCCTCTGTACTCTGAACACACTTCATATCTTTCTCATTCATTCTCACCATTGGTCTCATGGGAAAATAGGATATTCACCTTAATTTGATGATTAGTTCTGAAAAGCCAAGAGCCATATCTTGTATTCCTTTCCTATGCCCCAAGCCTCTCAAATGTAATGACTACTACGTGGTCCGATGTATTCTTGTTCAGACTGAATTGAATCTCCGTCAGCTTGACATTCCCCCCAGGAGAAGGGTACTACCCAAACCGGGAGATTCCATGCACGCTTCTTCATCTAGGTCCTCCACAAACATGTGGCAAGACCATCATAGATCAGATCTCTAGGAAATGCCGGTATTTCTAATTTTCCATCTGGAAATGTATCTACTTATCTTTAGCTTTGTTTATGGTCTTTAAGCCAATTCCATATTCATGATAAAACAACCCTTCCTGACTCAATTTTTTAAAAACAGTTGTTAGAGTGGGATTTCCTCACAGGTTTTTGAAAGTCAAATTAAATTGGGTTCTGTAGTTCCTCCTTATCCATATGCTTATTTATCTGCTCAAAGAACTCAAGGAGATTAGCGAGACGTGATTTCTCCTTCCCGATGCCACGCTGCCTTCCCGCTAATAGGCCGTGTTTACTTAAGCGCTCAGCGGTTCGGCTCTATTATACATTCACTCGGTAAACATTAAATGCTTACTCCATGCAAGCTTCCACCAAACGGTCCCCTGTGATACAGAAAACACCTCGGCATATTAGTTTGATAAATTAAGCGGAGAGAAACTTAAATAACACGTGGACTTGTGCTCCAACAGCGAGTGCCCATCTCCGCTCACAAGTCCAGACCTGAGCTCTCTGTGCCCCAGACACGTGGCCATGCTGACTGGATCTGGGGTTGGCTCTGACACGAGACGTGTGCAGTGAGCGTCCGTAGAACCTCGTGACTGGGGATCACGACGAGGACCACGGAGGATGTCCCAACACAGAGCAAATAGGAGGCACCTTCAAAAAGTTCTCAGCAAGTGGGGATTATGAAGCTACTTGTGGATTTCAAAATGTTTTGCACCAGCATCAACTCACACTTTAGTTTTCTACCAATTTTGGGAGTTCCCTTATATGTGAATTCCGGAATTGCTGAAGAAATAGTTTAAATTTTTATTTAAAATTGTGTATATGATAGAGAGCACATGCTTGTGCAAGAAAAAGAGAAGCACCCTCCACAGCATGTCACTCCGTGATCTGCTTCCCCTAGCCCTCTAGCCCCTTAGGGTCCTGGGCACCCATGCACACACAGCCGTGTTTGCAGGCCAAGCTGGGACCTGAGCCCATGGTCTGCCACGCCACGTGGCCTCCAGCCTGCAGGACACTGTATCACCCTTGTGCTGCAGCAGCAGGCCCAAAGGCAAGGGTTCTTTTCAGACTGTATCAGTAGGCCGAGCCGACCGCGTGTCCCAGGGTGGCTGTTCCTACATCCTGCCTTCCCAGGCATGGGTTTTGAGGCCCTGGGGTCTGGGTGGTATTGCTCTCTTTGCCCACTTTCTGCATGGACTCTGGGTCCCCATCAGTGCCCTCAGCACTTCCTGAAGTGGCTCCGCGGTGGTGCAAGCACAGCTTACCGTCAAACCCAAATCACTCTTCTTAGTGCCTATACAGCAGCTTGGGACTTGGGTAGTTTTATTTATATATATTTTAATTAGCTCTTCTTTATTATCAGGCACCCAAATGAAGCCATGTGGGTGGCTCTTTTTAAACATTATCTGGAAACTGAAGCCGGGTCCTCGTGACTCAGCAGTGCGGTCATAATGCTGGTAGAACTTCTCATTCTTGGCCTCCCATCAGAGTCGGGTCTGGGGGATGTTGTGGGAAGGGTGATGAGAAGCAGGTGGTCCCCAGTTTAGCTGGGTGGATCACGGAGGGGATGTGACGAGTCGCTACACCTGCGCCTTGGAGCCATGCGTTCTGGTTCAAATTGGTGGCCCAGGCTCCTTCCCAGTCCCGCAGCGTGGATGTGGAGTGGGGGTAGAAGGTGATGGTAGTTGTATGTGTGTGGAGATGGGGACCCCTCGGGGCCTCATGGCAACACAGAGGTCGTCTCTGTAGGCACAGATGGAGCCAGACCACAGACTCACAGGGCCACACCAAGCACCATGTGATGGGAAAGGCACGTGGTTTTTTCCAGAACCATAGCACCTGGGGCCAAGTTGCCCGAGGTTCAGTCTCTCACCCCGTAGCCAGCAGCACCATAAGAGTCACTGCGAAACCACAGAGCCCTTGGCACTGGCCAAGATGACCAAAGCT